TAGAAAGGAGAAAGGAAGGAAGGGAAAGAAAGGAAGGACAGAAAGAAACAAAGGAAGAAACAAAAGAAAAGGAAGGAAGGAAGGAAGGAAAAAAGAAAGAAAAGGAAGGGAAGGAAGGAAAGAAAAGGAAAGAAAAGGAAGGAAGGAAGGAAGGAAGACAGGAAAGAAAGAAAGATTTCTATGTAGAAGATGATCTAACTAGCATAAACTGAATTTCCATCACGATAAGTTTTTTTAAAAATAAAATAAAAAACCATTTCAAAACCCAGAATGACCAAGGGATTTGTGTGTGTGCGTGTGTTTGTGTGTGTGTGTAAAATGAGGTCAAAGGTCAGCCAAGTACCCACACTGAATTCCTCGCGGAAGAGCTTGTTGTCGTCTGCCATTCGCCGGTTGATGTCCTCCTCCAGCTTATCCACAGGCAGCGGCGGGTACTTCCGGTTGGTGCTGGGAGACCTGGCCAGCAGCGGCATGCTCTGCGGTTCTGCAGGACGGAGAGAAGCGGTTTGGTTGAGGAGACCCCGGCCACTGAGGTTGAGTGGAGAGGACCCCAGGGGAGAGGAAAAAGTGTGTGTGTGTGTGTGTGTGTGTGTACGTGTGGGAGGTCTTCTCTGAAAAAGCAAGAGCATCGAGTAAATCGAGCTTGTAGACGTTCTCACCCAGCTCCCCAAACACGACAAACCCTCTGACGTGACCTCAATGATTCCTTTCTTAGGAGCGCCGGCGGCCTCGGCAAAAGGTTTCTCTCTCACCGCAGGCTGACAAGTCTGTCTGGCAGGGAGATGAATGGTTGTCTGCCACCCCTGTTCATCTCCGCCCCCCACTGCCTTTGATTCCCCCAGAGTCTTGCTGGCAGCGGTGGCTCTTCCGTCCCAAGGACCGGCCCATAGATTTCCACTGCTCTCCTCTCCTCTCCCATCTGTGCATCTGCGCGTCAGGCACTGGACTCGGCTGTTCCTCCTCTTCCTCATCAGCCACCTCCAGACCTGGGGGCTGTTGACTCACCACCTGAGGGCTGATGGACGGCCCAGACTCTGCCCCCCCCCTCTCTTTTCTGCCAGCTCCATTCCCTCTTCCTCCTCGGGGCTCCCAGTGCTGACCCTGACTCCTCCTCCTCCTCCTATTTGGCCCAGTGGCCAACAGGCCACAACAGTAGATGGTCACATAAAGGCCTTGTAGCTTCCACAAGAGAAGTAGCACCACTTCTTTACAAAAAGTCAGTTTGGTCCCACCTCCCCAGGTTGTTGTTGTTGTGGGGGAAACTGGGAGAAGGAAGGTGTGCTGTAGATGCTTGACTCCTTGAGTTATTTGTGAAATAATAAAGGCAAGAGACAAATCAATAAAAAAAAATTGTTCAATACAGGCACGTGTGTCCAATCCCATAGCAACCCTTCAAAGTTCCCAGAGACCTACTTGTATGTGTGTGTGTGGGGTGTGTGTATGTGTGTTCCCTTAGGAGCCAGATTTAAAGTGCCAACTCTTATGGGCCTTTGCGACGTCGGATGGCATCAGGCCTGTGTTTTTATCTTGAATGATACAAGTAGCTTGCTTTAGTTTGGCAAGAGTCCGTCTATAGGCCAGGAGCAATAAGGGATACAGCTTAGCACAGTGGTGGCTAACCTTTTGGGGCTCCTGTGCCTAAAATTGTGCACGGGCTTGCATGCTCACACTCGCGTACCAGCACCCAGAAGGCAATGCACGTCCCACCCCACACGCCCCCTATGCATGCGTGCGTAATCCACCCCCACCCACCCCCGCCCCCTTACTTGCACTGGGCTTCACAGCTGATTTTCGGCCGGGTTGAGGACTTTTTTGGCCGCCCAGAGGCTTGAGGGAGGCTTCTGCAGGCTTAAAACTAGGCCCGTTTTATCCCTTCCGGTACTTCCGGAAAAACAGGAAAGGATGAAATGGGGCTAATTTTCGGCCTGCAAAGCCTGCAGAAGCCTTCCTCAAGCCTCTGGGAGGCCGAAAATCAGCGGTGAGGCGTGTGCATGCCCAGTACGTTTGCCCATAGCTGGCATGCCGGCACAAATGGCTGGTGTGTGCCACCTGTGGCAC